GACGAAGGAGAGGCTGTGACAGAGCCTTAGCTGAGGGCAGTGTGGAAGAGGGGGGTTTTGATGAGAGTGACTTCAGCATGTTTCTGCTCAGGGGAAAGGCCAGCAGAGACAGAGAAGTAGAGATATTTGGGGAAAAGAGAGACGTGGGATAAAGTCCTTCAAGAAGACAAGAGGAGCTCCAAGTCCCTACAGTTAACAGGCAACAGAACTAGTGGCTGACAGGGAAACACTGTTTATCATCCCATTTTAAAGACAGAAAAGTAGAACCCAGAGGGGAAGAGACTTGTCTCAAGCCACACAGCCTGTGACGTGGCAGAGCTGGTCCTGTGCTTCACAGGCAGCCCCTGCCTTTCCATCCCAGGAAGGTCCCCTGTGCCAGTCTAGAGCACAGGCCAGCCCTGAGGAGCCCAGGAGAAGCTGGACATCCAAGTTCCCAAGAGGGGAATGCAGGGAGGGTCCCACAGCACATTCTGGGAAGGGGTGGCTATGGGAGAGGCATTGGGGAGGAGAAGACAGAGCCAGGAGAAAAGCAAAGGCATCTCCACCCAGGCGGCAGCTGCTCCCAAATATGTCACAACTTGTCAAAGAGGCAGAAATAGAAGCTGTCCAGGGGGTGGAAGGGGGTGGTGTGGCCTCTCAGGCTTCTGGACCCATGAGGAGGGCAGAATGGGGCGGCTGGAAGGGAGGGCAGGAGGGGGAGGAGTCCAGACGTAAGCAGGACAGATAGATGCCAGGTCTAGGTGGGTTGGAATGGGTCCAGAGAGCCATCGGTGGCATTTTAGAGAGACTGAGTGTGGGAGCAGATGTGGCAACGGGAAAGGAAGAGACACCCACGGACATGGTCCATTCCTCGGGGCAAGGCCTGGCTCAAAGGGCTCTCAGAACAGTTCTCCTACCCGACCCCATGAGCACCTGCAGGCCCACGTGCTGAGGTGGAACAAGAATGCCATCTTTCAAGGGGCCATTTGGGTCACTCAGTCCAGCAGCCTGATATACACACGGGGAGACCGTAAACCAGAGAGGAGAAAGGGCAGCAACGCGCCTGGCTCCTGACCCAGGGTTCTTTCCTCCACTGGCCTTAACTTCCCCCTCTTGGGCGCTGAAGGCCCGGCTCAGGAACTACTCATAAGAAGTCCTCACCCACACTTCCAAAGGCCAGGTTCTCACTGCCACGCACACTGCTGAGCCCCATCGGGTTATTTTTAAACCCAGCTCTGTGCTTTGTGACCACCAGTCACCTCCCCAGACCCCCCACTCCGCAAGGACCTTCCTCTCTGGCTCCGGCTCCAGGCCTCACCTTCGCCCAGGCAGAGGCCAGAGATTCCTGGTGAGTGAGCCTGGCTCTGGGCTGCAGATTCCAGGCAGGGAGGGATTTCCCAGTGGCTATCTGATGCTTGTCCTCAGTGGAGACAATGTGGGACCTCCAGGCCCCTGCCCTCACTGCTCCTCACCCCCCCACCCCCGTGCCAGTTCCCATTTGCCTCCAAACTCTCCTATCTCAAGCCCTCAGGCTCCCGTCTCCCCAGCCCATGCCCCTTAGCCCTCGTGTATCTTCTTTCCATGTCTCCATCACTACTTCTCTGATGTCTCCCTGAACTCTCCATTCGAAGCCTAGAGCACCTCCAAATCCCTAGGGCCTCCCACCTGTGCCCGAGCCCACTGGGAAGCATGTACTCACTGTGAGAGCCCGGCCTTCTCCACCTGTAAGCCTCGGGGAGGAGAGGAGGTACCTGACGCAGCCCCAAGGCCTGAGCTCAGGCACCAAGAGCCAGCACCCCTCACCTTTCTGACACTAGTACTCTGTGTACCCTTGGGCGAGTCAATTTCCTTCTCTGGGCCTGTTTCCAGTGTGTAGGAGGAAGGAGGTGGACTGCTGACCTTCAAGGTGCCTCCCAGCTCAGGCTTTCTGATTCTGTGATCTGTTCTCACTGCAAAGCTACTGCTCCACAGAGAGTTGATGCTGGTTTGCATCCATTGTCCTGGCTTCTGGGGTCTGTGGGAGCATTTTCCTGCCACCCCAGCCATGGACTCAGCCCAGAGAACGGAGCTCAGGCATGTTTGCAGAAGCCAGAGGCTCTCACCCTTCCAGACCCTCCCCCTGATTCCCAGCACGTGAGACTCTGGACTGGAAACCTGCCTGGACGTTAGCCAAGCAACCTGGCAACCCAAGTCCGCCCACCTGAGAGGTGGCTGGGACTGGAGGTGCTGGGAGTCAGAGAGCCGGGTATGGGTGAGCAGTAGACAGGGAGGAAGGAGTGGGGAGCAGATGAAGAAGATTCCTGAGACCATGCAAACACAGTCAGCCCAGCATGCAAATAGCCAAGCTGGGATAGTGGGGCGGGGGCTAAGGGCTTCCTCTGGAGGGGCCAGGACTGCTGGGGCAGGAGGCTCCTTGGGGCAGGGGCCTGTGGGCCCAGGCCAGTAGGGTGGGGATTAGGGCCTGACGCCCTGCTGTCAGGTCGCAGCTGATGGATCTTCGCTGCTGGGAGCACAAAGACTGCTCTGTGGTGGCCCCAATGTGTTCCTGTCCATCAGAGGGCAGCTTTCAGGGCGGGGTGGGGGGACAGACCAGGGTGCACAGGGGAGGAAGGCCAGGCCTCCAGGTGCCGCTTCTCCACAGCTCGGCTCTGAGACGAGTAAGGTGGGTAAAGGGACAGTCCTCCATCAGGGTGCTGAGGTCAGAGACACTGCGCTGCCCTGTCTTCTGAGTCCTGGGAGGGCCTGTACCCGGAGCAGGGTTGTGACAAGGTCCCCAGGCCACTTACTCAGACACGCATACTCACCTACAGATGGAGTCTCCGAAATGCAGACGCACAAGGTCACCCTGACCCCAGGAAATTGAGTCTGCAGGTCAGGAGGGAAGGACAGGCCCTTCCCTTTTCTGGGTCACATCACACTTCTGTGTTATCACCGAACACTTTCTACCTTGGTGAGAAAGCTGCTCAGCTTCCTTACCCAACTGTGTGTTGCAGGCATATTTATGTCTTGCTCACACCACTGACCCTGGCACCCAACACACGGTGGGCAAGACTTGTTTCTTGACTGAAAGTGTTGAATAAAATATACATCACACGCAGGTGGGGCCAGGTTTTCCCTCCCCCATCTCCGCTGTTCTGGTTCCCTGGAGACCATGAGGACAGCCAGGGAAACAGACTCAGGGAGAGGCCAGGTGTGGAGGAGAGGTGCCTCCACCGGCCAGGTGCCCTTTCAGTACAACAACCACTCACCTGCCTCACACACGCGCATACACACACCATCCTTTTGCCAGCTGACACACCTGTCCTCACCCGGTCGACACGTCCTCCTGCCTCTGAGAGGGCTGTTCTGCACGCAGGATCTCGGCACCTTGCTCCTGAAGGACTGTCGGGTCTTACACGTGGTGACCCCTCCATGCCCAGCTGGGCACCCCCGACCTCTGCAAGCCTATGTGGAACCCTGAACTCCACCCAAACCCATCCACCCTTCCCCATCCCTCCTCCTCTCTTCCGGACCCTGTGTGACCTCCCGACCCAGCGGTGCTCTGCCCCTCACGCAGATCCTACGAACTCCTGACACGCCTCTTTGATGAACCGGCTCATTTGCCAGGGATGGCAGCCCCCACAGAACTAAAATAACTTTCTCGCATTTTAACTTAACATTCACGCTTGTGTCCAGGCTCACCAACTAGACAGTGAGATCCTGGAAATCCTCACAAAACAAGCCCAGTTCTCCTGCTCCCATTTTTAGAGGATGTGGACACGCTGTTTGGGGGCAGATTGGATCCCAAAAGGACAAAATGATGCAATTTCTAGGTTTCCATAGTAACTGCAGCATCACTCCTATGCTCAGGGCTCATAAGACTAAAGTATAAACTGAGGCAAAGTTTTCTTTTTTTCCTTTTTGGGGTGTGTGCGTGTTAGAAACATTCTTCCTCTGTCCAGCTGGTTGGGCAGAGCAGGGCTTCGAGCCCCCAGCCCCCACCAGTGGTTTTCTCTCTCACTTACTAGAGAGGTCAGGAGCCTGTGCTGACCTCTCTGCTCCCCCTCAGCATGCTGGGGTCTTACTGGGGTCTCATCTCTGTTCCCTACCCCAAGGGACACCGGCATTTTCCTGGCTCCTCCCCACAGACGAGGAGAGGAAGGGAAGCAGGGTCCTTCAAGCTGCATTCGCATCTCCCTGTGACAACTTCTCAAAGTCCCCACACAGTTTCTCTTCCTCTGTTGTCCTCATCACTGTGTGGGACTGAGCATGAGTCTCATCTGTCAGAGAGGAGGGATCAGACTTAGTCCACACAGCACCAAGCCAGGTGGTGAGGGAGAGGGGAGATTTAAACTGCGTGGAAGGGCTCTGTTCCCGCTGGCTTTCCACGGTGGGGATGGAGGCCACGTGACCAGCGCATTCAGGACTTCCACTGACCCCTGCCAAAAAGAGAAACAAGACCCCAAAATTCCTCTTTCCTCAATTTATCCCCAGTCACATGAGCCCTAAGAGACACGATGTCAGAGCTGCTATGGAAACCCAGGAGTGGAAGCCACTTATTCCGAGTTTCAGCCCTTCTTGTCCCCGGACACTGAGCTCCCATGCCTGCCCTGCCCGAGCAGCAGCCTTGCCCTCCGGGGGGGAGTCTCATCTGGCTGATGAGTGGCTTAGAGTGCTGTCAGGAAGCGGAGGGGTGAATTAAATGACGTGAGACCCCCTTCCAGCCGAAACCCACCCACAACTTCACTTCTTTAGGACTAGCAAAGAGAGAGCAGGCAGGCCCCCCGCCAGGAGTAATTGAAAGGAGCAGATGAGAATGTGTGTCCCCCCACCTCCCCTGCCTGCCCCATGGGGGCTGCGGAGAAATGAAAACTAATCGAATTACACCCGTGGCCTCCCTCCCGGGGCACAGGAGCTGATGGCCAGGGCAGGCAGGCTGGGTGGGTGGGTGGAGGCCAGGCAGAGGGGGGTTCACATCTAATCCGCTGTGAACGTCTTGATGTGCAGCAACAGCTTAGAGGGGGCTCAGGTTTCCGTGGCGTTGGCTATATTTATCTCTGGTTCCATGCCAGCGGGGAGGGTTTAAATGGCACCCAGCAGTTGGCGTGAGGGGCTGCAGGAGCTTGGGGGCTGGTGGCAGGAACAAGCCTCTTCCGACCCCATGGAGCTGTATGAGACGCCCCCCTACTTCTACCAGGAGCCCCACTTCTACGACGGGGAGAACTACCTGCCCGTCCATCTCCAAGGCTTTGAGCCGCCAGGCTACGAGCGGACTGAGCTCAGCCTGAGCCCCGAGGCCCGGGGGCCCCTCGAAGACAAGGGGCTGGGAACCCCCGAGCATTGCCCGGGCCAGTGCCTGCCCTGGGCGTGTAAGGTGTGCAAGAGGAAGTCGGTGTCCGTGGACCGGCGGCGGGCGGCCACCCTGAGAGAGAAGCGCAGGCTGAAGAAAGTGAACGAGGCCTTCGAGGCCCTGAAGAGGAGCACCCTGCTGAACCCCAACCAGCGGCTGCCCAAGGTGGAGATTCTGCGCAGTGCCATTCAGTACATTGAGCGCCTGCAGGCCCTGCTCAGCTCCCTCAACCAGGAGGAGCGGGGTTTGCGCTACCGCGGCGGGGGCGGTCCCCAAGCAGGGGTAAGTGGTTGCCCCAACCTGCCCCGGGGAAGGAGGCACAGCCTCAGCCCCCCACATGGGGCTCATCTGACAGTCCTCTGTCAGAGCTGGGCTGTCCAGCTGACCCCCATGTCTCAGTGTCCTTTCCAGACAGGACAATGACTTTGGGAGGACAAGCAGAGATGGAGGGGTGGGCAGAGGACAGAAGGAGGGGTCAAGGAGCAAGTCTAGAGCTAGCTGGCTGCAGTGCCTGGGGATGGGGCCCAAGAGCAGGGCCAAGCACAGGGGTGAGGACAGCTCTGCCCCCTACCTGGAACCCCAGCACCTGCACAGAGAGGCCCTGGTTGGACCGGACACCCTGATCCCAGGGTCAGGAAAACCAGACACTCCTTTAAGCTGTTGAAAGCCAGGAAAGGCCTGGAAACCAGGGATCTAAGGCCAGGTGGAGGCAGGGAAGGGGCTAATTGGCTAATTGTGAAGTTCCCTGATGGAGGTGACCTGGGCTAGGGGGCTGTAGCCTTGGCACAGGAGCTTCTGCCAATGGGACTGGACAGAGGACACCACCTGGAATGGCTGTGCCTGACCTTGGGCCTCGGCATCTTGCAGGTACCCAGTGAATGCAGCTCCCACAGCGCCTCCTGCAGTCCAGAGTGGGGCAGCGCCCTGGAGTTCGGCCCCAACCCAGCGGGTGAGTGAGATGGGACCCTGATCAGCTTGGCTCAAATCCCTCAGCCTGTGTCCAGCCCAGGTGGCCCCTCTTACCTTATTCCCTGCCCCTGGCTTCTTCCCTTGGCCTCTGAAGGGACCTACTGAACCCAGGGTCCCAGTGGGGGACTGGGAGCCCTGTGCCTCCCTGAAGCCTTGACCTGTTAAAAAGGCCCCAGCCTCCTGCAACTCCCAGCTGGTACCTGGTGCCTGTTGCCTGACCTTCTCCAAGGGGAGGAGACTGTCCCTGTCCCAGGGGTCCCTGGGGGTCACTGAGTCAGTGCTGCTTAACTGACCAGCAAGGGCAGGTCCATCTCCCAGGACACGCCATCACGGCTCCACCTACCTCCACCCCCACCACAGTCGGAAGAGCTGCTTCCAACCCCAGCCCCACGAGCAAGTTCACAGAGGAGGCACACACATCACGCACGTGCTGTGGGGATGAGCAGTAGAACTCCTAACCTTTGCTCACCCAACTGGCCTGGGTCTTGAGACACCCAGTATAGCCCAGGTAACACCCTCCCACCTCCTCCCCACAGACCATCTGCTCACAGCTGACCCTACGGACACCCACAACCTGCACTCGCTCACCTCCATCGTGGACAGCATCACCATGGAGGACGTCTCTGTGGCCTTCCCAGATGAAACCATGCCCAACTGAGGCTGTCTGCCGGGCCGGCGTCCAGGGGGCCCACAGGCTGTCCACAGATGCCGCCACTTCTGCAGAGGGCCCGCCTAAGCCAGGCTGTCCTGATTCCAGAAAGCCAGCCTGTCCCCCTCCTCACCCGTAGGTTAATCCACCACCCAGAGAGGGAATGGGTGCTCTCATTTAGCTGACTGCTCAGAGCACGGGCCATCCCCGTTCCAGGGAGATAAAGCAGGGGACCAGAGCACCCCGCGTGTGCCCCGGCTCAGGGGCAAACTCAGGAGCCTCCCTTTGATTATAGCGCAGCCTTCAACTCCACCCTGAACTTCCTGTCCGTGCCTCCTCCTGATGCCAGTGGCCGGGCTGGGCCCGCCCTAAATTGGGAGAGAAGAAAGGGACAGTCCTCTGTTCCCAAGTCCCTGGGGGGCCAAGATTCTGCAGTGAATACTGGGAACCTTCCAGTGGGTTTATGTTTTGTTTGTTTTGTGTGTTGTTTGTGAAGCTGCCATCTGACCAAGTGTCCTGAGCAAAGTTGCCAGGGACAGGCAGGGGTGGGGGGCAGGGGCTCTTGGGGTGATTTCCTTGGATAACTAAAGCATCGTGTGGTTTTGCTATTGTTTTGTAATTTTTTGCTAACTTATTTGGATTTCCTTTTTTAAAAAATGAATAAAGACTGGGTGCTAGATGTCCGTGATGATGCAGACAGAGGGGTGCTTGCTGCTCCTCCCCCTCCCCCTCAGTCCATACACCCCCAGGGATGGGCTTCCAAGGCCCTGCTGCTGGTGGTCACCAGGCCCTGAGACCCCTGCTCTTTCTGCTACTTTAGAGGAAGCCAGGTCTGGTCCACAGGCCAGGTGCAAGGCACCCTGCTGAGGGTCCATCACCCTCTGATTCATGACACTGGGCACTCACTTGACATCCCACCAGGTCCTCGGATTAACTGAGCACATGCCTGGCATTTAGCCCACAGCCTGTGGGCAGGGGCGCAGCTGGAATGCGTGGGCTTCCCTCCCTAATCCCTACCTCTCCTCTGGTGTAACTGTCCCAGGAGCACGTAGGGAAGTGGGAAATGACCAAATCAGGCTGACCGGAGTCAGACACTGTCTGTCCACCACAGCCCTCCATTCGCCAGGCAGAAGGGGATTGTGCCCCAGTCTGCAGCTCAGAGGATGAAGGAGATGCAGCTGGGGGGCAGGGGTGGGGGCTCACCAAGAGCAACGAAAGGAGATGCAGAGGCTGCTGCTTTCCGAGGATTCTAGACATCACCTGAGGGTCAGCTGGGGAGGCATCAGGAGCTAGAATTTCAGTGGACCACGAGCACACACTAAAAACTTTATTAATTCCAACTGTTTCAGGTTAAGTGTCTGATTTATTGCAAATTTCAGAATCATTACATGCAGCCCCCAGGTTTTCCCCAGAAACTCTGCATAAAACAAGGAGGCCCCACTCTGGGGCTCAGGCCCGGTGGGGAGAGCGTCAGGGCTGGGCCTGCTGGGAATCACAGGTGGGCCGACCTGCCCTGCCCTGCATGTGGGGTTTTCTTCTGCGTTTGCATCACAGTGTTTCCTGCCTGACCTTCTGGGAAGGGCTGAAGGGAACACCTGGGCCATTTCCAAGACTCGGCCTCCCTGACTCACTGGCCTTTGGGGTAAGGAGAGTCTGCTCCGGCCCTTAAGGAGCTGGTAGGTTCTGGGGCTGCTGGATGCATTTTTACATCATTCCTCTTCAGTTATCATGTCAGTTGGAAACTGAAGTTCATTTTCATAACCTGCTAAGAACGAACAGTCCTGAGCAACGGCTATCAGGGTTGGTGGTGCCAGCCATGGCCCGGTGGCCACTGCCTACGTATTTGCTTCCCACCAGGAGAAAGGAGCTGCTGGGCTCCACAGGTGAGGGCAGGCTCTGCCAGCTTCAGCTGTCACCGAAGCCCAGGGACTTTCCTAAACTAATGAAAGCTTAGCCTCCACAATTGCATTACAGATAAGGGTTAATGAATAATGAGAGTGGTTCTTTAGGGAAATCAGCTTAAGTTCTGGCCTCCAGTGGAAGCTCCTACAATAGACCAAACTGGGTTAATCAAACATTGCCAAATAGTAGCCTTTGGGGAATCAGGCTGGAAGGAAAAATAATTACTGGGAAGGGGAGGTATCAGCCCCTCCTCCCCCACCCCTGGGGCACCAGCAACCCAAACAGTCATCTCCCTCAAGCCTGTGGTTATGTGAGCAAACAGAAGGTTCCCAGCAACTAGTTCTTACAGCTCTGATCCTCACTTCCCAGGTTACCACCCTTAGGACTGGGGAGGAACATGGACACGTCAGCTGAGCTCCAAGTTGAAAAGGACCAGAGCCATTTTTAAGTTGTCTTAAAACCAGGCTGTTTATTGGTGAGCGCTCGTGCACGTGCACACACACACACACGCACACACACATACACGCACACACACACACACACACCCTCCTGATGCCCTGAGCCCGCACAGCTCTGAGCAGGGGCCTGATAAGACACAGGAGGCTGGTGAGGGNACACACACACACGCGGGCGCGCGCGCACACACACATACACGCACACACACGCACACACACCCTCCTGATGCCCTGAGCCCGCACAGCTCTGAGCAGGGGCCTGATAAGACACAGGAGGCTGGTGAGGGGTTCAGGCCACTGGTGACTCTGCAAATACATAGACTGACCAAGGCAGTGGTCTAGTCTGGTCAACAGACAACAGCCTCCCGTCACTGACCAGAGGTCTCTCTCCTTCATCACCTCCCTGAAATATTCCAAGATGCCCTGAAGGGACCTGCGTCCCACCAGCTGCTGCTTACTAGCCCATCAGGTCCCCTGACAGAGTAATATGGCCTTGTGGTCCCCAATTCCACCAACCTAGGGGTGTGGGGTTTCTCCATTACCTCATGTCCATCACCCAGGGACAGGGGCTTTCTCTCCCCATCCCACTCATCTCTGCAGTGGCTGATGCACAGGGAGGGCAGGGCATGTGGGGAGCCACCCAGCCCAGCACGGGGACCTCTCCTCTGCTGAGAGGTGGCCCAGGCACTGAGCCCTGGCACTGCCCCACCGGCTAGCCCAGCCTCACTCAAACCCAGGTCTATAAGGTTACAAATCAGCCACTCAGACACCTTCAGGGAAGTGTGGCCCCTGCACACACCTGCCTCCACTCTCACTTGGATGAAGCCCTGGGTTCCTGAACTCCAGTCCCAAGTACTGTCAGGCACCTCGGCAGCGTGAGGAATGGGTGAGGAAGAGGGTTTCCGGGGAGTGACCTTTCTACCAAACCTGATACTGAGGTCAATGAATATTCAACCCACCATCAGGAGCACTGCTACAGGCTGGAATTACTACAGAATGGGCCAAGGGGGCAGGGTGCAGGGAGCAGAGCTGGCAGTGCCTGGTTGCTTAGCTCTGTTCTGCCCAGAGCTAAGGGCCACAGACTCCATCCCCTCAGACCAGCAGCAGCTCCATCCCACACTAGGCCAGAAGCATCCCCACGCCCTTTAGGGGAGAGGCCAACACAGATCTCTGGCTCTTCTCCCGCTGGCCAGCCTGCACCTCACTGAGTGGGGGGCTGAGAGTTTCCCCACTGGACCCTTGGCCCAAACCTCAGGGGCCCATTTCTCTCAGATTCTTCTCAATTTCACACTTGGAATTCAGCTTAAGCCAGGGCCTGGGACCTCCTCCCATCCTCACCATCCCAGGAGGACAGGCCTTCTGCAGCCCTTCAGCCCGCAGGTCATCCTGGAGGCAGAAGCCACAGATGTCCAGCCATTTGGGCACAGCCAGGACAGGGACAGGGACCAGAAGGCCAAACAGCCCAAACTCGGCAGGGTCCGAAGTGCCCTTTTCTTGCCAAGGCTGTCCCAGCCCTGGGCAGTGTCCCGGTCTCCCATGGAGGTCGGAGGTCAAAGTCCAGACCAGGCCAGGACCAGGAAGGAGGTGAAGTCACACCCGCCAGGGCTCCGTCTTCTGCCTCCTGCAGAATCTGCACAACTGCAGGAGGACCAGCCACATCCACAGGAAACGACAAAGAATATGTGGGGGACTGGGGGAGTGGACTCCCAAGTGGGTGGGCAAATATATTCTGAGATCCAGGAAAACTGGAGAGTCACCGAGGAGGCTGGGAGCCATGGGAGGAAGGGGTTGAGCAGGAGGGGTCCGGGCTGGCGGGAGCCTGTGGAACCCTGGGGCCTGGCTAGTCCCGGAAGGCAGAGAGCATGTGTCCATAGAGATAGTGGGAGTGAGCTGAGAGAGGGAGAGGGAGAGAGAGAGAGAGAAAGAAAGAGAGAGACAGGCGTTGGCAGTGAGCAGAGTCAGTGCCCTGAGGCGGGAGAGCAGGGTTGCAGGGTACTGGCTAGCAAGCATGAGCACCAGGCCAGATGCAGCAGAGCGGGGCCAGAGCCAGCCAGGAGCAGGGAGGCTGCAGGGAGGGCTCAGGGCTGGGCCTGGCCCACTTACCCACCGCCACGGGCACACTAGCCAGACCCCAGACCCGGGGAGGGGTCAGCAGGAGTAGGTCCGCACCGTGGAGGTCTCTGGTCTCTGCGCCCCGGCTGTCCGGGCTGGGAGAAGTCAGCAGCCCGGAGAACACACAGGGCGGCGGTTAGTGTGAGCGCTCACGCTTGGGCTGCCACGGCCACAGCCACAGCAGGGTCAGTGCAGCGTCAGGGGGCAAGCTGGGTGTCCAGCCCGTCACTCACCTTCAGGCGCGATCTTCTTCGGAGGGGCTGGTGGAGGCTGCAGGGACCCCAGGGTGGACACGCTGAGCATGCCCCCCGAGAGGTCCCGCGGCCGGAAGCGCTTCCTCCAGGAGGGTGCACGGCGGAACACCTTGTCCTCCCCCTGCAGTGGGGACACAGGAAATGCCACCTCCACTCCCTGCCCGGGTGGACAGTCACGGCTGGTTCTAGCGGGTGGCTGCCTTGCAACTGAAAGTCTCTGTCTCTCGGAGGGAGGGGCCCCTCTGATGGGATCTGTCGCCATCATGCAGTTGAACCATCTCCCTGCCCACCCCAGTCACCTCAAACTGGGCTTGGAACACCCCATGACCTTTCAAGTGTGCCTCCCGTCCGTGTCACCCGTAGACGTGGTCACCAGGCAGCCCCCACCCCACCCCTCCCTTCTGGGACCTCAGGAGGGTCAGGAGTCAGACCTGGCTTCTGAGTGACCCTGAGCTGCCTGTTTCCTTGTCTCTCAAGCAGGAGTAACAATCCACTCTCCCCAGACTGCCCACCCAACGGGATCAGGGACACTGAGTAACGGATCAGGCAGCGAGGCAGTGAAAGGCAGGCTCCTAAGGATGGGTGGGAAGCCCTGCTCTGCCCTCCCCAACACCAGCCTCTTCTCCAAAATAACCACCTCTGCCAAAGGGTACTGGGGAGGTAACCCCAGGATGCCCCTGTGCACAGAGCCCAATGTCCTCCGCCCTGTGCTGCCACCATGTGTCACCTCAACAACCCACTCAGCCCCTCCTAGGGTCTGTTGTTTACACCCCAAGTGGGCCAAATGCCCCATTCATTCTTAGCACCACATGCCTCTGTCTCAGCCCTGGGCCTAGTAGCATTTTCACATGTACTTCTGAGACTATATCATTAACCTCTCCCTGCTTTCAAATTCTTTATTCCATGGGACAGAGACTGATCTTTCGATCAGTGCCTCCCTGGCCCCTGCTCGTGCCCAGGACACTGCAGGCACTCAGTAAGTACTGTTGAGTGAACAGATGGCAGCTGGCTTCCTGTGTAGGCGTCCCATCCCTGAGTTAATTTTCCTGTCATTTCTGTGCCCTTTACCGAGCCCACAGCCTTGCTCCCCCATCTCGTTTCCACCTTAAGCCAACCTTAAGGATTCCATATTCCTCCCGTCCCCTAGAGTCTCATGCTCTCCCCGCTGCACTGCTCATTTCTTGAGTCCTGCTCTCCCGGCAGGTGGAGAATTGGATGCAGCCTTCTAGGGCCTTGGAGCCTGAGAGGGGAAACTGAGAACCAGAATTAATGGAGAGAACAGTTGCCGAGATGCTCCAGGTTGCTGCTGATGGACCTCTCCTGTGCCCACGACCACCAGTACCACCATCTACTCTAAGCAGTGAGAACCAGTCCTCTTCAGCCCCACCCAGATGCATCCCAGAGACCCATGGAGCTGCCACCTGACGTCACCCACTTAGCAGCTCTGGGCAGCCAGGTGCACACACTTCTGGAGGCGTGGGATGCAGGGGAGAGCTCAGCCCTGCTCTGCCACAACTCGCCTGTCAGGTACGGTCATGACCCCAGGTGTGTGGGGTGAACAGGAGGGCTCACAGTGCAGGGCACTGGGGAGATTAGATCTCTGAGAGTGGTGTCCGACAGTCTACCTCCTCGACTGGAACACACACACACACACACGTATACTACACATATGTGTGGATATACATGTTTGTTAACACACTCCAAATTCCAGGGTACCCCGTGCAGAAAAGCCCTCCACAAGTCAGTCCTGGTGTCTCACGTGTCCTGTCTGCTGAGGCAGAGCGGTCACCCCACACAGGCCGGTTTAGCCCAAAGAAGAAGGAAGCACTAAGGTGGCTCGGGGGCCAGCAGTCCAGCATCGGGGGCCTGCTGCACGAAGCACAGTGAAGACGGAGGACCCACAGTCCGGGGTCTTCCGTAACTTGTCTGGAACCAAGAAGCTAAGGCAGACCTGATAGGCAAGGGCACATGAGGTTGGGGACAGGAAAGTGAGCTGTCCTCAGGGACCTGGTGGGGTGGCACGTCAGGCGTCTCTGATGGGCATTAAGAACCAACAATGACCCAATCCCAAGGCCCCTAGTTCATGGCAGGCACTCACATCATCCAGCTTCCGGTCTGTGCCCAAGGCCAGCAGGTTGTTGAACTCTCTCTCCATCACCTGGCGTGCCTGGAGACCACAGGTAAGGGGAGGGGGGGGCTGCAGTTAGTGGGCTTTGTGCCCTCTGTCTGTCACCTGCTTCCTAGGGGTTCAAGTCCAAGGGCAGACATGGGGTTTCAGGGCATTTAACCCACTAACTGACCCGCCCCTTCACACAAACCTGTGTCCTCTTATAAGTCAAATGACTTGTGAGCCTGGGCTCTTTCCTAGAGAGCAAATTAGAAAACTAACTTTTTTAAAAGTATGGTCACAGGACAAATAGAAGGACAGGCTTCACTTATTGGGGAAAAACCCACATTTTATATTAAGTGAAAACCATGCCTTTCGGGGGGACGGGATAAATGAGCATGTAGGCCATGGGTAGTAAGGATTTAACTTATTTAGGTTAAGGGAATATATTTCACAAGGCCCCACATCAAAAACTTAACTTGGGAAGGTGGCTCAGTCATAGGTTTGGTGGCCCTGGGCTGATCTCTGTGAGTCTTGGGAAATGCCAGAAATAAGCAAGTTTTCAAAAATGCCACTAGATATTATAACCATTTTTAACAAAGGATTCCTACTGGTTTGGATCCCACCTCCCCAACAGCTGAGCCATGACAGCGTCAGGAGAGTAAGAAGGCTGAGCACAGGCTGGACCCTGCTCCTGCTCTCGGGTGAATCCCGTCCACAAAAAGGGGTGATGCAGAGACGAGAAACCACAGGTGGAGAACTCAGGTGAAAACCATCACCACATTGTTCAGGGAAGACTGGGAACATAAGACTTTTCTAAGTGACTGGGAGGGACGGCCCTCTCCTCTGGGCAACAACCGTGAGAACCACACTCAAACTGGAAACATCTCACAAGATTGTGGGAAAGGAGCTGCAGACCAGGCCGGAGGTGAGCAAATAGAGAAAAAACACATCTCGGGGGAAATCCAAGCTCTCCTTAGAGAACAAGGGGTCTGCGCTATCCACTGTGACTGCAGAGAGCCTAGTGGACACCCTAGCCCCGTGTGCTGCCATCACCCCCAAAAGGCGACCCCCTACCCAGAATTCCAAGACAATAGAGCCCTCCGCTCACACCAGCCAAAACACATCTGCTGCCAGAATAGCTCGTGCGGCTCTGGGGCTCTGGGGCTGAATTTCAAGAGACCTGACAGCTGCACTCTGTCCAGACAAGGGCGGCTAAAGTGATCAGGGCAGGAGGGAGCCTATATGAGGAAAGGCTAAAGGAATTTAGAGTCCACAGAGACAAGGACTTGGGGCCAGAGGCAACACAACCGGAGTTATGAAATCACAAAAGCTGAGAACTGGTAAATGAAACATCCCCCCTATCCAAACTATATAGGGAACTCATACAACTTAACAAGAAGACAAACAATCCAATTAAAAAGTGGGCAGAGGACCTGAATAGACACTTCTCTAAAGAGGAAATACAGATGGCCAAGAGACACGTGCCGTTCATCATCAGAGAGATGCAAATTAAAACCACAATGAGGTGTCACCTCACACCTGTCAGAATGGCACCATCAACCAATCAACAAATGACTCGTGCTGGCGAGGGTGTGGGGAAAGGGGACCCTGGTGCACTGCTGGTGGGAATGCAGACTGGGGCAGCCACTGTGGAGGTTCCTCGAAAGATTAAAAATTGACTTGCCATTTGGCCTAGGGATCCCACTTTTAGGAATATACCCTAAGAAACCTGAAACACTAATCAGAAAGAACATATGCACCCCGATGTTCATAGCAGCGCAGTTTACAATAGCTAAGATCTGGAAACANCAGCCCAAGTGCCCATCACTAGATGAGTGGATAAAAAAGCTGTGGCACATTCACACCATGGAATACTATGCAGCTGTAAAGAAGAAGGATCTCGCCCGGCCGGGTGTGGCTCAGCGCTTGAGCGTCAACCTAGGATCCAGGCGATCAGGGTTTGATTCCCGGTCAGGGCACATGCCCGGGTTGCGGGCTGCAGCCGATCAATGACTCTCTCATCATTGATGTTTCTATCTCTCTCTCTCCCTCTCCTTTCCTCTCTCTGAAATCAATAAAGATATATTTTAAAAAAAAAAGAAGGATCTCTTCTCCTTTGGGGCAGTATGGAGGGACCTGGAGAAAATTATGCTAAGTGAGATAAGCTAGGCAGAGAAAGACAAAAGTACCACATGATTGCACTTATATGTGGAATATAATAAACAAAATAAACTAATGAACAA